AATTATATGTTAATGATATAATATATTCTAATTATCCAAAACATATGCTAAGATACACTACTGTACAATATACTACCAATACTATATGAATATACTACATACACTACATATACTACATTGTACATTATATATACACTAGAGGCCTGGTGCACGAAATTCATGCACAGAGGGGTTCCCTCAGCCCAGCCTGCACCCTCTCCAATTGGGGACCCCTTGGGGGATGTCCAACTGCCGGTTTAGGCCCCATCATACAGTGATCAGGCCTATACTGGCGGTCAGACATCTTTCTCTCAATCTGGGACTGCTGGCTCCTAACTGCTCACCTGCCTGTCTGCCTGATTGCCCCTACCTCCTCTGCCTGCCTGCCTGCCTGGTCTCGTCCCCAACTGCCCTCCCCTACTGACCTGACCACCCCTAACTGCCTCTGCCTCAGCCATGGCTTTATCTGGAAGGAAGTCAGACGTCTGGAAGATGGTGGGTTGACCAGGTCTAATTAACATTTTACCCTTTTATTAGTATAGATAGATTATATAGGATAGGATTGCTTAAAGGGGTTGGGGAGCCTTTTTAAGCAAGAGGAGATACTCTTGGCAGACAGAAATACATAATCCCTATATCTGGCCTGAGAGCCATCCATATGCACTATACTGCCAAACCAGTTATTTAAAAAATTGAACTGCTTTCTTACACCTTATAGCAAACAGCTGTTGCCCTTAAAACCTCTTTTCAGCCCCCACATTAGGTTCTGTCTTCGCAGTTCACCCAGTTAGGTTCTAATTGGTCAGTTTCTATGCCAGTGAGCATCAAAAGCTCCACCTCCTAGGCAGCCATTGGCTCCTCGCAGTTCACCCAGATTTGGTTCTGATAGGTCGGTTTCTATGCCAGTAAGTGTCAAAAGCTCCACCTCGTAGGAAGCCATTGGCTCTTCTGGGAAATCCAGAATGGCCCAGCTGACAGCTATCTCTCTCTCTGGGCCTATCTCCGGGCCTGATCTGTAGCCTCTGCAGCAGCTGTGGATCAGGCCCCACCTCTCTCTCTCTCCGGGCCTCACCAGCAGCTGCTGCGCCTGAGGATCAGGCCCTGCCTCTCTCTCCAGGCCTCTCTCTGGGCCTTCTCTGCAGCTGCAGTGCCTGCCTTGCCCCACCTACCCCCCTGCTGCCCCTCCAGCCGCCAGCCTTGCTATGATAGGAACCTGTGGGTCACGGGGAGGGACTGAGAAGTGCTCCATTCACTTCCTAGTGGTCATTCGTCTGGTCATTTAGGTCATGACAGCCCTAGATTAGTAGTATAGATACACAGATACACATAGATACACACTATATGTAATAATTTTGCATTATATAATACATTACATAGAGAACACTTAAAATTTTTTAATTGATTTCAGAGAGGAAGGGAGAGAGAGAGGGAGTTAGAAACATCGATGATGAGAGAGAATCATTGATCAGCTGCCTCCTGTATGTCCCCCCCTGGGAACCAAGCCCACATCCCAGGCATGTGCCCTTCACCAGAATCCAACCTGGGATGCTTTAGTCAGCAGGCAGATGCTCTATCTACTAAGCAAAACCAGCTAGGGTCACAGACAACCTTTTATATAGATGCAAAAGCCTTAACGAAATATGAACAAACTGAACTGAGCAATATATAACATGACCTATACACCGTGACCAAGTGAGATTTAACCCAGGAAAGAAGGGTTGGATTTGCATTTGGAAATGAATTAATGTAACATACCGTTAATAGAATAAACCTCAAAAACGACAAGATCATCTCAATAGATACAAAGCACGGGCCCTTCCTCACTTCGCTTCCCCACTGGAAGCTCAGGGAGGATAACAAAGGGTCGCCTGTCCTCACTCAGCTGCCAACTCCTCACCTGCAGGTTCTTGGACAAGGTGTCCCCCACCTCCCTGAGGTCTCCCCTGTGCACAGGCCTCCCTAAGGTAGTAGAGTGCACTGCGCTGAGGCAAGTGGAATGGCTGTTTATTTATCTTCCATGACTTCGCTTTCATGCTCCTCCTCTAGCCTAAATAAGCTTTCTGGAGTGCCCCACAAATACACTCTTTTATCTTTTCAGAATCCGACTCATCTTTCAAGAACCCAGCCAAACAAAACTTATTCTCTGTAAAATTTGTCTAGACAAGTGTCTTCTTTCTACTTGAAAACTCCTATGAAACATACTACCCTTAATATTTAGTTGCAATATTTCTCATGCTGCCTTGTATAATTTTGCAAGACTACATTGAAGGGGTTGGGCCTACAATAGTGTCTGTTCCCTGTCTCTCACTTGATGTTCAATAAATACATGTCTATATCAAAGACACTGTCCAATGGATCGCACAGGAAATATAATAAATCCATACAAATAACACCCATCATTCTCTAATTCACATCTCCAAGTGAAAGGGGAAAGGAAGAAGCCTCCTTATACCAATATTTCTTCATTTTCACCATTAATAACTACATTCCTACCTGTAGAACATCTCTCTTGTTTTTGGCCACACCATATCTCTTCTCTCTTCTTTTGTGACAATAACTCTATTTTTGATGGAAACAACCATCTACCTCTGCATCGTCTCAATGGGAACACCTTTCAATACTCTTCTCCCTCCTGTGGCCTAGGGATGGTCATGGAACTAAAGGGATCTGGGCAATTCAACTCTGTGGGCAGTAAAGCCAAGGGAGACCCTGGTTAATGCAGATCCACTCCAGGGCAGACCCTGACAGGACTTGAGCTGCCCCTGCTGGGTCCTTTCAGAGGCCTGTGTTCATCTGCCCCATTTCAGAGAAATGCCTTCCTTCCTTACATTAGCCAGAGTTGGTTTCTCTGCTTACAAACAATTAACCTCCACTAAAAACCTTCACATTTTTGAAGTCACTGAAGTGTCTGGGCCTATGACATGGCAGATCATTTTTAGCTTTTTACTGAATGGTAGGATTCATATCCACAAAATACCAAAGCAGGCATCTTGCTCAGATTGACAGTGATTTACCTATGTAATTGTTGGTGAGACAGATTTCTGGAATTGTACTCATTGTAAAGCTAAAAGCTACAGATGCCAGAACTCTGGGGTAGCTAAGCATCAACGCAAAAAAATTTATTAAAGAGAGAGAGAGAGAGAACCATTTGCTGCATGAATTTTTCTAAGTCTCGCATTTTATTTATTCATTTTATTTCCATACATTGTCAGTTCATGAATCACTTAAAAACTTAGAATCAAATTATCCTTAAAGTTTATTTCATTCTCTACAAAATATATATATTTTTAAAACTATTATTTTTATTCATTTCAGAGAGTAAGGCAGAGGGAGAGATAGAAACATCAATGATGAGAGATTATCAATACGGCTGTGTCCTGTTCACCCCCTACCAGGCATTTACCTAGCAATCTGGGCATGTGCCCTTGACTGGAATTGAACCAGGGATGCTTCATTACTGAGTCCAATGCACTATCCACTGAGCCAACCTGGCCAGGGCCAAATTGTCTTTAAATGAGTCTCAAATCTACTTCCAGGTAAAAAAAGAGAACTTTTTAGTCTTAATTAGGAATTGTTTGGTTATTATTTACTTGATTAATTAAACGATGGTAACTATTTACCATCTAAGCTCTTGTAGGGCTGGAACTGTGTTTCATGTCTTGCCTGATGGACTTCATTCAGTGATAAGATCACAGTAATATTTCTATTAATTTATTAATCCAAATTAGTGCTTTAATGTCTCTCAACTGTGTATTTTTAAAAGGTCACTCATTTTATTTTGTACCAGTAGAGTTACTCAGTTAATCCTAGGTACAACTATGCTTTCCCTAAAAATGTTACAATATACTTAAGAAAAGATTTTTTGCAATGATGCTATCACTCTGTACACTGTAAAATAGGGCACTGTATTTTAGTAATCTGCTTTGGATCCATCTAAGAAAGGAGACTCAAAAATCCTTGCATTCCTACCATGCCTGCCTAAAATCAAAACATCCACTATTTTTCTGCAAAGTCAGTTTCCAGGTGATGATAGCCACAGGTCTGGCGGATGGTCTGCCTGTTGCAGCTGCTCCAGGTCCCACAGCCCTTCAGAGCCAAGGCAGGGGACCCGCAAGGAGGGGAGATTCGCCATGCATTCGCCAGTGGGACAGAGTGGAGCCCAGGAGCCGGGCGAGTCCAGGCCATGCATGGAGCCTAGACTGTGAGGCCATGCGCAGCGCACAGTTCCTGGGGCAGATGCAGCATGCACGAGGGCTGTGCCCAGCAGCCAACCCTGGCAGGGAACTAGGAAAATAAGGCTGAAGCTAATGTGTCAGAGCCTCTCTGGAGTCTCTTCCTGCAACCCCACACTCCGGGCCTAGCCCGTTCTTGAGGCTTATTTCCATCATGTCTTCTTTTATGTCTTCCAAGATGTGACACAACGGAAGGTTTTCCCATATTGCTTACATTCATAAGGTTTTTCCTCAGTATGTGTTCTTCCTTCCATGCTAAGAGACTTGGAGAAACTGAAAGCTTTACCACATTCCTTCCATTCATAGAGCTTTTCTCCACTGTGTGTTGTTAAATGTCTGGGCATGTGCAGGAGGGCAACCAATTGATTTGTTTCTCTCCTATCAATATGGTTCTCTGTCTTTCTCTTTGACTTCCACTCTCTCAATGGAAAACTATTCTCAGGTGAGGATTTAAAAAAAAGAACTAGGATGGTCAAAGGCTTTTCTACAATCTTTACATGATAGGGCTTATTTTCAGTGTGAGTTCTTTCATTTATTATGATTTCTCTCCACTATTAGTGCTTTTGTGATTTTGAAGGGAACTGGGATGAATAAAAGGTTTCCTCCATGGCTTACATTCATAGGGTTTTTCCTCATTATGAGTTCTTTCATGATATCAGAGGGAAAGTGGATAATAGAAAGTTTTACCGGATTGCTTACATTCACAGGGTTTTCCCTCACTGAGTTCTTTCATGATGTCAGAGGGAACTTGGATAAGAGAAAGTTTTACCACAATGGTTACATTCACAGGGTTTTTCCCAAGTATGAATTTTTTCATGATTTCTAAGCAAAGAGGGATAAAGGAAAGTTTTACCACATTCCTTACATTCTGAGGCATCTTTCCATGATGAGTTATTTTATGTTCTCTAAGGCATTTGGCAGAAAAAAAGGCTTCCTCACATTGCTTTCAGTCATAGTTTCTCTCCAGTATGTATTTTTTCATGACCTCTAAGAGATGCAGAAAGACTAAAAGCCTTACCACATTGCTAACATACGTGGGGCTTTTATCCAGTGTGTGTTCTTTCATGATATCGCAGGTAAGCTGAAGAAGATACACCTTTACCACAATGCTTACATTTATAGGGTTTTACACCAGTATGAGTTAATTCATGTCTTCTAAGGAAAGAGGGATAAATAAAGGTTTTACCACATTCTTTACATTCATGAGGCTTCTTTCCATCATGGCTTCTTTTATGATTTCCAAGGGAGCTGGGAGAAACGTAGGCTTTCCCACATTCCTTACATTGATAGGGTTTTTCCCCAGTATGGATTCTTTCATGATATTGAAGGGAAGTTGAAGAAGACAAAACTTTACCACATAGCTTACATTCATAGGATGGTCTAACACTATGAGCTCTAACATGACTTTGGAGAGAACATTGATAATAGTAACCTTTACCACACTGCTTACATTCATAGCGTTTTACACCAGTATGAGATCTTTCATGAGTTTGGAGGGCAGATAGAAAACAGAAAGCTTTGCCACAATGCTTACATTTATAGGGTTTTTCCCCAGTATGAATTCTTTGATGATATTGGAGGTAAGTGGGATAAGAGAAAGCTTTGCCACAATGCTTACATTTATAGGGTCTTTCCCCAGTATGAGTTCTTTCATGACATTGGAGGGAAGATGGATAAGAGAAAGCTTTGCTACAATGCTTACATTTATAGGGTTCTTCCTTATGATGAGTCCTTTCATGACTACGCAGGGAAGATGGATAACAGAAAGCTTTACCACAAGGCTTACATTCATAACGTTTTACACCAGTATGAATACCTTCATGAAGTTGGAGGTAATATTGATAATGGAATGTTTTACCGCATTCCTTACATTCATGAGTCTTCTTTCCATGATGTCTTCTTTTATGATTTCCAAGAGAGCTGGGAAAAATGAAGGCTTTCCCACATACTTTACATTGATAGGGTTTTTCCCCAGTATGCATTCTTTCGTGATATTGAAGGGAAGTTGAATAAGAGAAAACTTTACCACAAACCTTACATTCATAGGGTTTCTTCCCAGAATGAGTATTTTCATGATTTCTAAGGGAATAGTAATGATGGAATGTTTTACCACATTTCTTACATTCATGAGGCTTCTTTTCATCATGACTTATTTTATGATTTGCAAGAGAGTTCCTGGAACTGAAGGCTTTCCCACATTGCTTACATTCATAGGGTTTTTCCTCGGTATGAGTTCTTTTATGATACTGGAGGGAAGTTGAATAAGAGAAAACTTTACCACATAGCTTACATTCATAGGGTGTTTTCCCAGTATGAGTTCTTTCATGATATCGAAGAGAATATTGATAATAGAAACCTTTGCCACAATGCTTACATTTAAAGCGTTTTACCCGAGTATGAGTTCTTTCATGATTTCTAAGGAAAAAGGTATGATGGAATGTTTTACCACATTTCTTACATTCATGAGGCTTCCTTCCGTCATGACATCGTTTATGTTTTCCAAGAGAGCTGCTATAATGGAAGGCTTTCCCACATTGTTTACATTCATAGGGTTTCTCCCCAGTATGCATCCTTTCATGATTTCTAAGAAAAGTGGAATGTCTGAAAGCTTTCCCACATTGCTTACATTCATAGGGCTTTTCTCCACATTGAATCCATTGATGCTCTCGATAAGACTTTGTATAACTGAAGGCTTTCTCACATTGCTTACAACCACAGGGTTTTCCCCTGGTATGAGTTCCTTTATGACTTTGGAGGGAAGTTGGATAAGAGAAAATTTTACCATAAAGCTGACATTCATATGGTTTTTCCTCAGTATGCATTCCTTGGTGAGTTATAAGGGCATAGAGATGATGGAATGTTTTACCACATTCCTTACATTCATAAGGCTTCTTTCTGGGATGACTTCTTTTATGTTTTCCAAGAGAGCTGAGCCAACTGAAGACGTTCCCACATTCATAATGTTTCTCATCAGAGTGTGTTTTTTCCTGACTTCTAAGAGAAGTGGAACTGAAAACTTTTCCAGATTTCTTACATTGATAGGGCTTTTCTGCAGTGTGTCTTTCATTTTCTCCAGAGTACTTGGGAGAACTGAAAGCTTTGCCACATTGCTTACTTTGACATGGTTTCTCTCCACTATGAGTATTTTTGTGAAGTTTAAAGTAAGTGAGATAACTAAAGCCTTTTCCATATTGCTCACACTCATTCGGTATCCCAGGAATATGTGTTCTTTCATGATTTCTAAGGGAAGTTGAATAGTGAAAAGTTTTCTTGCAGTGGCTGCCTTCATGACTCTGAATATGTTGGTGAGGCTTGAAAGCTTTCTCAGCTTCCTTATATTTATAATGTTTTTCTTCATATTCCTGACACAGGTACAGTTTGGGTCCAATGTGAGAGCTCAGGTGGTTATTCAAGGATAAATAACGTATGAAGATTTGCCTACACAACCTGGATTTAGGTTGTTTTATTTTAGGAATTTCCTTCTTTTCATTATTATTTGGGATCTGGCTGAAGTTTTCTCTGCATTGACTACCATCCTTCCTTGTACAGAGTCTCTCTACCATATGACTGCTGTAAAAATCAGAAACATATTATTAATACACTGTAAATGATTTAATATTTATTAATAGCATGGCAATGACATTTTTACCATTTTCAAAGGGTAGGGTTTTTGAACATTCCATTTTTGAAAGTGGATATCTTAAAACTTCTGTTATAGGCTGGATAACTAATATTATGAAAACACTTATATTCATTAATGGTACTTCTTTATATTGTTTCCAAGTGTAATTTTTTTTTAAAAGGGAGAATGATGATTTTTATTTTTATTTTTAAAAAATATATTTTATTGATTTTTTTTTATAGAGAGGAAGCGAGAGGGATAGAGAGTGAGAAACATTGATGAGAGAGAAGCATCAATCAGCTGCCTCCTGCATGCCATCCACTGGGTATGTGCCCGCAACCAAGGTACATGCCCTTGGCCGGAATCGAACCTGGGACCCTTGAGTCCGCAGGCTGAGGTTCTATCCACTGAGCCAAAGCGGTTAGGGCATGTAATTATTTTTTATACACTAAACATGTAGGTCATATTTCTGAAAAAAACATTTTGATGAGATTATTCTGAAAATCAATACATTTAAAACTGGGCTAATACCATTGTATTATCTGTTTTTAAGATTGTTTTGTGGACCGGGCCCATATGGCTCAGTGGTTCAGGATGGACCCATGCACCAGGGGCTTGCCTGTTCAATTCCCTGAAAGGGAGCATGGCCAGACTTCAGATTATTAAACCCAGTACAGGGCATGCAGGAGGCAGTCTATTGACTTTTCTATTTCTCATTCTCACCTCCATACTCTAAAATCAATAAAAACATATTTTTGCATCACCAGCGAGGCTCAGTGGTCTAAACCAATTTCTGGTCAGAGCACATTCCCAGGTTCTGGACATGATTCCAAATGTGGGGCATGCAGGAGGCAGCCATCAATAATTCTCTCTCATCATTGATATTTCTTTCTCTTTCTCCCTCTTCCTAACTCTCTGAAATAAATGTTAAAAATATTGAATGTATAAATAAATAAAATATATAAAAACCTATGTTAAAAAAACACTAAGATGCTGTTAACGCTTTGTCATAAATAATTTTATGAATTATTTATAGGTCAATGCGACTCACCTAAGATGCATCCAATGATTTTCATACTGATCTTCACTGTCATGGTCGTCACATTGTTCTTCTAAAATACATGCTAGAAAAAGCATTATAAACTATTAAAGAATATAAAAAATGGTTAGATTTTAGGTATACAATGAGCTGTGATCATTCCTGGTTTAATTACCAATGTATTCCCTTTCCATATTTAACTTCTTGAAACAGGATTAATGAGCAAGCAACACTCGTTTTCTAACTGCCTAAATACCAAGTTGTTAAAGGCCATAGTTGCCCTGTGGTTGACCATCAACATATGAACTGGTATGAACCAGAAGGTCACAGGTCAATTTAAAGTAGGACCGGTTTGCAGGCTAGATCCCCAGTGTGATGCTCGCAGCAGGTACCCAGTCAGTGATTCTCTCTAATCATTGACTTTGCTGTCGTTCTCTCTCTCTCCTTCCTCTCTAAAATCAGTAAAAATATACTAAAAAAAAAAGAATTTGTGATACCTACCTACTGATGCCAGGTTCCAGAAGGTTTCCAGCATCACATCTGTGTAGAGTTTCTTCTGGGTGGGATCCAGGAAAGCCCACTCCTCCATGGTGAACTCCACATTAACATCCTCAAAGGCCACTGAGTCCTAAAACATTCCACATATACATATAAGAGAATGGGTGAGACAGACAACACTGGGGACCTACAAATAATTCATAGAAAGTTCACATAGAACACGTGGTCACCAACATTTAGTGTATCACTTGATTGTAAGACTATTATTAATTTTCCAAATTCATTTCCTCAAGAACATGTGGAATTTATTGATATGATTTTACTTTGATCACTTCAACTCTTCATTGATCTCTAATGTCAGAGTAAAAAACACCTTGAACAACTTCTATATTAATAAGTTACAATACTTCTGTTTTAAGCCCATTGATTCCTTGTGAGAAAACTCATCTCCATTATAACCACCATTTGATGCAGCAGTCCATAAAACATATTGTCATAGCGGCATAAAGTTTTAGTGACTTTGAATACAATAAAGGCCTGGTAGCTTTCTCTTCTATTCTCATCACCAAACAGGAGAGGCCAGGTGGTGTGTGGAAATTCAAATTAGAACAAAATGTACTTGGCCATATTTCCTGAAGTACTCCAAATTATCAGAAATAGTCAGATACACCTGAATGAATGAAAATATTCTTGTAGAGGAGTATGAATAATCATTTATTTTTATATTATTTGTTAGTAACTCAGTTTGACCTTCTTTTGCCTCTCTCATTTAATAGAGATAGGATGTTCAGTTAGAGGTCAGGCATGAGCAAGATAGGCCAACTTAGCCCTCCACAAAAGTCCTCTACTCATGAGCCTGAGGGTTACTTCATACTGATTTTTAGGACACATAGACACGTATATTAAAATCCTAAGATCATACTCAAAAGAAGTCTTTCTGGTAGAATTGTGACACTATAACCAGGGCCTGGCCCTTGAGGAACAATTTAAGACTTGGCATGTACAAGGGCCTTCATTGATATCTGCAATATTTTCATGTTGAAATTAGTTTCACCCGAAACTAATACAAAATAAAATTAAGTGTAAACTGTAATTGGAATGTAAAATATAAATAGAAGCATATATGGTGTTTATGGAGAGGAAAAATTAATATAATTAAAATGTCCATACTACCCAAAGCAATCTATAGCTTCAATGCAATTCCTATCAATATACCCAAGATAGATCTCACATAACTCGAACAAATATTCAAAAATTTTATATAGACCACAAAACACCCTGAATAGCAACAGCAATCATGAGAAGAAAGAAGAAATGTGGATGAATCACACTACCTAATATCCAACCGTACTACAAGGCTATAGTAATCAAAACAGCATGGTCCTGGCCTAAAAACAGCATATAAATCAGTGGAACAGAACAGAGAGCCTAGATATAAACCCATGCCTTTATGGTCACAGAATAGTAGAAAAAGGAAGCAAGAATACACAATAAAGTAAAGGTAGTATCCTGTATAATAAAAGACTAATATGGAAATTATCACTAGGAGTTTGACCAACCGGGATTTCCACGGCTCGCTATGATGTGCACTGACCACCAGGGGGTGGCATAAAACATGGCAGGCTTCCGCGATGTGGTGCTAGTAGCGGGCGGCAGTGGAGGCGGTGCTGGCCCCGATGGGCCCTGATCAGACTGGGATTGCTACGGGATTGTGCAGTAGAGCGGTCGGTGCCAGGCCAAGGTGGATGCGAGTGGGGTCCCCGAAAACCCCTCCTGTCGCCCCACAGATGGGGACAGGCCAATACGGTGGGGGGTGGTGCCAGTGAGGGGGCAGCACCAGGCCAATTCGGGTGGGAGCAGGGCTGATGGCCCTACTGTTTGCACCACAAATGGCAACAAAATACAAGAGTGCTTAAACAGTTGTGAAAAGCAAATGGTGCCTTGGTTACAAGGAAACACTTAAAGGGCCTTTGGAGACTATTATAACTTATAACCCTTGCTTCCCTGATGCTAGAACATTAGACCTTGATCTATAGGAACAAGAAGGTAGGAATTGAAAGAGAAATCAGGCCCAGAGAAAACAAGTGCCTTTGTCATCGTTAATTATGTGGGCTCTTGTTGAAGCTGCACTATGCCTACTTCATATTGAGAATCAAAAGCCTACAGAAGACTAGCAGGATTTATCACCGCCCCCTCCTCCTACAGTAGAGCCTGTAAAGCCGGTAATACCAAAGGCCCCTGATCCTCCGCCTCCAGTGTGGGAAGGCTCATCAACCAAATCCTCAGTTATGGGATCATGTGTCAGGCAAGCTATGTTAGGAGAGGTTTTGACTTGCCCATTTATGCAAGACGCAAGGTAATTGGATACATGAACCCCTCTCCTTTAATACCTTTAAAGAAATAAGGAAAAGTATGAGAGAAAATGGGCCATTTACAAAAGGACTCCTCATGCCTTGTCTGAAAATTACCATAAGATGCCTTGGGACTGGCAGATTTGGGGCAAAAAAACACTGGACTCCAGTCAATATTTAATTTTGAGAGCAGAATATGATGAGATGTGTGAATAACAGGCTGTTTGTGGGTGTTTACTGGCAACCCCACCTGGGAGTCCTCTGGGCCGCATTCTGGCTGTAAGCCCCGGGCACTGTAACACATCGGAAAGTTCCATGAAAAGGACTCTGGTTCATTAAGTCTTGTCTGTGGGTTATGTGCGCCTTTAAAAATTGTCCTTAGAGTGTCTCTGTTGATTGTTGTTTCTTGTCTTTGTTGTTTGGTTTGATTTGTTTAAGGATAGGGCGTATTTCACTTTGCTAGAGGCCCCAGCTACCTGTGTTAGGCTGAACATGTGGCAGGGATTGCAGGAACTTCCCAGCAGCTGCCAAGAATTCTTACCTTGGGGACCGCTTTCCTGCTCTCCCTCTCAAGTCATCAGCCATTAACTAGTGAAAGTCATTATCTAGTGGAAGTTCTTGTCTGTCTGTAATGTAACTTGGTTACTGATGTTCTTTGCTTGCTTTTTTTATCTTTGGGGGACTTTACTTTGCTGTTTTTTTTAACACAACCCAGGCCTGTGCCCTTGAAAGGAATAATTCTGTTAAAACTTTTCTTATATATTGCACATGTCTAATCTATAAACACTTCTTTCCTTCAATTTATCGAACCACCATGGCACAGAGAGTCCCAAACAAGATGAACCTGAAAATACCCACACCAAGACACAACATAATTATGATGGCAAATGTTCAAGACAAAGAAAGAATCTTAAAGGCTGCAATAGAGAGACAGGAAGTTACGTAGAAGGGATCTGTCATATTATCAAATAATTTCTCAACAGAAACACTATGCTTTAATTATGTTCAATTTGTAACATTGACATTGGGGGTCACCACAACATGAGGAACTGTATTAAAGGGTCGCAGCATTAGGAAGGTTGAGAACCACTGCTCTAATGTAACTTGGTTATTGAGGTTTTTTGCTTGTTTTCTTATCTTTGGGGGACTTTGCTGTTTTATGAACACAGGGAATCCTCTGTCTCTACTGTTTGGCATTTGTGCCACTCAGAACCCATTTGCTGTGATGGGTCAGTGTGAGATAAGATTCTAAGGCTAATGTCCCAGTCCAATGTTTTATGAGTACTCATTTATTTACTGTAGGGATTTTTCTGTTTCTGTTTTTAACATCTCTTCTTCTTTTTTTAAAATACCTTTTTATTTATTTCAGAGAGGAAAGGAGAGAGAGAGATAGAAACATCATTGACAAGAGGGAATCGTTGGTTGGCTGCCTCCTACACGTTGGACTGTGCCCACAACTCTGGCATGTGCCCTTGATTGGAATCAAACCTGGGACTCTTTGGTCCACAGGCCGACGCTCCATTCAATGAGCCAAACTGGCTAGGACAATATCTCTTCTTACAGGTAAGATTTCATGTTGTTAGACTACTCAGAAAGAAAAAATATGGGAAATAATTATTTGAACCCTCAAGTCTTTTTCACAGGAGGATTAGACCCGTAGAAGTGCCTTCCAGCAGGCTGCAGAAATAGCAGTGGAGGGCCACTCCCACTTTTGTAAATAGAAAAAAAATACATTATAGCCACTAAAGGCCAGTGAGTTATCCCTGTTACAAAATTTCCCAAGAAAATGCCTTGGGTAATAATAATTGGCTTTAAAATCTCACTACTTTGTTAAGGCAAAAGAAATACAACTAAAATGAAGGGTAGATGATAAAGCTTTATCCTGGGTAATTATATATATGCCTAAACAGTTTTCCAAAGTCTTTGGTAACGTAAAACTTTGAAGTTTGCTGGATTAAATAGTAAAGTATTAAATATCTAGGCATTCTGAAATAACAGGATACTGAAATATTAATCTGAATTTGCCTCATATGGAGAATCTAAAGGATAAATTTGAATCTGTTAATAAATAAGTCTTGAATTTTATTTGAAGCAACTCTTAAAATATAAATGTATTGCTCATCTGAGGAATGTTAATTATTTACATGCTACCTAAAAATTAAGATTTTTAAGGGTTAAGAATTCTAACTAATTGGAAAGGAAGTATGGCTTTCGTGTAATGGAAGGCATGAGGCACGGAGATGCATTTTGAAGGAAAAAGAAAGTGGAATCTAAAACTGGTTACTTCTGAGTTGTAAGGTATCTGAAGAAAGATTTGTGAAAGTGGTAGAAAGTCTGTGGAAGTTGTGGGATTTTGAGATGAGAAATGTTGAAAGGAAATTGTATAAATAACATAGGCCAGTATTGTCCTGGCTTACTGGCAAAATAAATAGTGAAACTGAGATGGTTAAACAGCGATTTAGAGCCATCTAGTAAATGGAGCAGACTGGAGCTGTGTGAGCAGAAGCCAGGATTGGGGACTCGGAGGGTAGAGATCAGAAGACAGACATCCCCAGATTCCTGGGCAGACATCCCGTTTCATTCCCTCACACAGCAGAGGACATCTTTCCCACACAGACATTTGCCTTGTATGGAGGAAAGGCGGTTGACACACCCTACTAGAAAACACCTCGCCCTGAGGCCACGTAGACTAAAAATTATAATTAGTCTCCAGGCAGAAGCAACTGCCCCATCCTGCTGAAAAAAACCTCTCGCCATAACTCAGGACTATTGCCTGGGGGGACAATTCAAGTTTGAATCCCATCAGTGTGTAGGTAGAGGTGGTCTCTGGAGACTGAGTTTTGCCTGGACTAATTAGTCAGAAATAGCATTTGACACTATCCTGAACTAGAGTTTGAGAGGCATAGAGGATTTACCTAACATATAGTCCCAAACCCAAACAGATAGCCAAAATGAGGCAATGAAACAATCCTTCAATGAAAGAACAAGAGAATTCTCCAGAAAAAGAAATAAATGAAGCAGAGATAAGAAATTTATCTATAATGAAGTTCAGAGTATGATGTTAAAGATGCTCAACAGTATGAAAAATGATATAGTAACTATGAAAAAAGAAGAGTTGGAAATAAAGAATGATATAACATTAATAACACACTGGAAGGAATACACTGCAGATTAGGGGAAACTGAGGATCAAATCAGTGAATTACAAGACAGAATTGAAAATATCACTCAATCAGAGAACCAAGAAGAAAAATCAATTAAAAAACATGAAAATAGCTTAACGGAGCTATGAAAGAATGTGAAAAGTAACAATAGTAGACTAGCATGTAGGCCAGAATAGGCAGAAAAGGAGAAGTGACTTTGTTTGAAGAAATAATGGAAGAATAATTCCATAATCTGGTAAGGAAAAAGTCTCACAAGTTCAGGGGGCACAGTGAACCCCAAGCAAGAAGAACCCCGTGAAATGTAACAATAGTAGACTAGCATGTGGGCCAGAATAGGCAGAAAGGGAGAAGTGACCTTGTTTGAAGAAATAATGGAAGAATACTTCCATAATCTGGTAAAGGAAAAAGTCTCACAAGTTCAGGGGGCACAGTGAACCCCAAGCAAGAAGAGCCCAAACAGACCAAAGACCCAGACACATCATAATTAAAATGCCAAAAATTAAAGACAAAGAGAGAATCCTAAAGGCAGCAAGAGAAAAGCAAACTGTTACCTAAAAAGGAGTTCCCATAAGGCTGACACCTGATTTCTCATCAGAAACTCTACAGGCCAGAAGGGAATGGCATGAAGTACTCAAGGTAATGGGAAGCAAGGATCTGAAACCAAGATTACTGTATCCAGCAAGGCTATCATTCCAAATCAAAGGTCAAATAAAGAGCTTCCCAGATTAAAAAAAAAAAAAAAGGCTAAAGGTGTACATCACCACCAAGTGCTAAAGGGGGCAAAGGACCTAAATAGACACTTTTGCAGAGTGGACATACAGAAGGCCAAGAGACATATGAAAACATGCTCAAAGTCACTAATCATCTGAGACATGCAAAACAAAACGACAATGAGGTACCACCTCACACCTGTCAGAATGGCTATCAACAAATCAACAAATGACAAGTGCTGGCGAGGATGTGGAGAAAAAGGTACCCTGGTGCACTACTGCTGGGAATGCAGACTGGTGCAGCCACTGTTGAAAACAGCATGGAGTTTCCTCAAAAAATTAAAAATGGGACTCCCATTTGACCCAGTAATCCCACTTCTAGAAATATATCCCAAGAATTCAGAAACATCAATCAAAAAGGATATATGCACCTCTATGTCCATAGCAGCACAATTTGCAATAGCTAAGAGTTGGAAACAGCCTAAGTGTCCATCAGCAGATGAGTGGATTAAAACAAACCAACCTGTGGTACATCTATACAATGGAATACTATGCTGCTGTAAAAAAAGAAAGAATTCTTATCATTTGCATCAGCATGGATGGACCTGGAGAGCATGATGCTAAGTGAAATAAGCCAGTTGGAGAAAGATAAGTATCACATGATCTCACTCATCTGTGGAATACTGTATAATGAACAACATAAACTGATCAACAAAAAATAGATCCATAGACATCAAAGCATCAAACAGACCGTGAAACCTCAGAGGGAAGGCAGGGGAGGGGCGTGGGATAAAAGATCAACGAAAGGACCTGTAAGCATGCATAGAGGCATAATCAATGGACACAGACAGGAATGGGGTGAGGGCATGTGCCGGGGGTGGGGAGTAGCTGGGGAGAGGTCAATGGGGGAAAATGGAGATATATGTAATACTTTAAACAATAAAGAATTTAAATTTTAAAAAAAGAAGAAATGCTAAAGGGACTGCTGTAATGAGAGCAAGAACCAGAGAGAAACCTAGGCATACACAATTAAAATGGCAATAAATAAGTACCTAACAATAATAATCCTAAATGTAAATTGATTAAATGCTCTAATCAAAAGGCATAG